CGCATCTATATGATTCTGGGAAAATGATTTAATACTTACATCCAAATTGTTTTTCCACAGCAGTGCAAGGCCACCACTTCTTTTCCTCCCTTCACCTTTACACTCCACAATAAAAGTAGCACTAAAATTCAGCTTATTTTTTATTTTTACAAGTTCATGTTTTTTCAAACGAGTCTCGGAAAGAAACACCAATTGGGGGCTCTCAAGGAACACAATACTTTTCAGCGCACTAACTGTAGAGGTGCTCCCCAAGCCTCTACAGTTCCAAGAGAGGATGTAACTCATTGGCCACCGAGAGCCCATTGTGTGGGGCTCGCCACATTGTCAGAGTTCGAAATTGCAGCTCTCTTACTACCTCTATCATTATCATCATCAAGCACTGAACCATCCTCACTACCATCCTGATCACGGGTCCTTCTCTTTTCCCCTGCTATCTTCACATCCCCTTCCATACTATGATCCCCCTCCCTTGAATTTCTTTTCCACCCCTTCCTCGTAAAAATCTTCCCACTACCCCTTTCCTCTCCCTCTGTAATTTTCTCATCAGTTAATCCAGCCATATTACCACTACTAAAAATAAAAGGCACATCAGAAGGCTGCTGCAAAGGAAGTTTATTTAAAGTGTCATTATTCAACTCCACTTCTCCAAGTTTGTCAGCAACCTCGCGGATTTGAGTTTTGGGCACATGAGTCACAGGAGATTGCTTAGGTTTGGTGATGAATAAAGGTTTGGCACAGCTGGGTCCCTCACTTCCCCCTTCATCCCTCTTATACACTGTACTATACTTCCAAAGTGAGGCCTTCATCCATGCACCATAAGGTACTACTGGGTCCTCAATCTCTCTACACTCTTCACAATCCTTCACTCCATGCCCTATTTTACCACAATAAAAACAAAAAATAGAGGGTTTCTCATATTTTACCTCAAAGTTTTCTTCAATGCCCCCCCCCCCCAATTTCAATCTGACAGATTTCACCAATGGTTTTCGAACATCAACCATAACACGAAGCCTAATTGATTTGTCAATCCCAATATGAGCAGCGTTATCCATCTTGACAAAGGTACCTAGTTTGTTCCCAATCTTCTCGACGTTGCTTATGTTTAAACACCCTTTGAGTGGAAGGTTATAAACCTTAACCCACATAGGTAAAAGATGAAGTTGAGTCTCCGAGGGTTTAATCGATTCATTCGTTTCGCCAAGGATCAAAGCGTGTCTGTCAAAATGCCAGGGCTGTTCTTCCAGGACCTTATACTTGTCTCTCCAATGGTGAAATTGGAACATATACATGTTTTTTCCAATGTTCGAAATCTCCACACCATGCTTAGGTTTCCATACTTCTTTCATGGTTGATATAAAAGCATTAACATTCACACTTCGATTAGTCCAGATTCTCCCAACCAGCGCAAGTTCAATACGAGCTTCTTCATCGTCTTCACCATTATCCTCCCACTCAATTACCTCCTCTGTTATTTCTTTATTCGATAAAGAGGCAATAATCTCCTCATCATTATTCAGGCCAATCAACGAAAGATTATTGTCTTGAGTTGCCATAATCAACGAACAGAAAACACAATTAAACGAAAAAGAGAAACGAAACTCGATTGAAATTGAGAAAAGCCTTACGAAAAGGAAACCCTAGTCAAGCACTAGACTGCTTTGGACCTTAGAAGATTTAGAGTGAGAAAATAATAAAGGTGAAAATTGAGTTTTACAAAATGATTTGGCAATGGAGTTTAGTTGAGCGTAATACCGATTCTAGGGAGGAGTAGCAGTCTATTCATCACGGTTATCGTTGAGATTTTTATGGAGGCCTCCAATGGTTTCGCCGGAGACAAGTGTAAACTTAGAGCAATTTCAGAATAGAAATTAGCCAATTGTGTTTGCGCATAATGGATTGAACCTGTTTAGCAATGCGCTCAAGAATTTGCTTTGCTTCATTTTGTCGCGGTATTCTTTTCAAAGATATGATTTCTCATACTTTTTTTAAGGTCACCTAATTGCAATTTTCTGGAATTTGAGTGTAAATTATGAACCCTAATTTTGATGAATTCCTCCCCTTTTCTCGGAACCCCAAATTTAATATCTTCGCATTTTGGATTTAAAGATTAATTTGATAATTAGAGTTTGAATCGTTTGATGGAATTAGGGTTCATATTGTTTTCCAATATGCAATTATGCCTAGTACTTGATTTGAATGTCTCAGACTTCAAGGTTTTTTTTTCTTTTAGGCCCCGTTTGGTTTAATGTAAAACATTTTCAATGGAAAATTAGTTTTCATGGAAAACATATTTTCAAGAAAAAACACAATTGCAAATTAGTTTTCCTTTGTTTGGTTGCATACAAGAAAAGTCCAAGAAAAATAAAAAGTAAGAGTGGAAATGTAAGGATGAATGAGAGGGAAGTAAAAAAAGGAGGTAAGGAAGAGAGAGGAAAATGTGGCTTCCCTTGTTTTAGGAAGGAAAATGTTTTTCATCATTAAGGATGGAATTTTCCACCCTTGGAAAAATTGTTTTCCACCCCTTAACAAACCAAACAAAGGAAAATAGGAAAAAAAATGGAAAACTCATTTTCCATGAAAACCTTTTACATCAAACCAAACAGGGCCTTAAAGAAAAAAATAGTTATCAAAAAACAACGTGAGCATAAAGTTTAGTACTTTAACTGCAACAAGTGAAAGGTGAGTACCCAATTTACAACTGAGGGCCTATTCACTTCGGTTTAATTTCAGTTTAGTTCAATTCAGCTCCTATTAGTTCAGTTCAGTTTAGTTCAGCTCCTAATTTCCTTCTCTCATAAATTATTCAGTTCAATTCAATTCAGCTCCAATCAATTCAGTTCAGTAAATATGAACAGGCCATAAGTCAATAGTTTAGTAAGTACCAAACTTTATAGCTAGTTAGCTCTGTGATTTGATCATAGATATCCAAAATTACCCAAGATAATTTGACAAGCATTTTTTTACAAGCTTATAATGTGACTCTTTTGCTCTTTATTTATTTTAAAAAAAAATTGGGAAGTTGATAAAATAATTACATACGAACTATAAAAACTTTGCCAAAAATTATTTAATCGATCAAAAATGTAAAAAATAATTGTTGTTAAGTACTTTTTCCATTCCCACATTTCTTGTTTTTTTTGCTGCTAAATAATTGATTTTGTTTGTAATAAACCTGAACCAACACTTTGCTTCAAAAAAAAAAAAAAAAAAAAACATGAACCAACACTTCTGTTTGTTCTATTACTAATTTTTGGGTTTAAGCAATGCTTCAAATTCACCTAATGTCAACACAACTCGACAACCATTTAACCCAACTTGGCTTAAACAACTCAAAGTTAACTCGACTTTGTATCTGGGCTATGTTTGGATAACAAAAAATGGAAGGAAAGGAAGGGAAGGGAAAGGAAGGGAGACAAACTTCCTTGTTTGGATTATGTTGGGGGAGGAAAGGGAAGGGGGGAGGGAGTGATCTATTTTCCCTCCTCCATTAATAAAGACCATCCCTTCAAAATTGGAGAAATTTGGAGGGAAAATGGAGTTCATCATTTTCCTCCACTTTCCCTTCCTTCCCCTTCCTCCTATTTCCCTCCCTTCCATTTCCCTTCTAATTTGTTATCCAAATATAGCACTGGTCATAACCAATTTGGATTCAACTCAACTTGAATCCAACTTTGACTTATTCTGAACTCAGCCCAACACCCAATTAAATCGGCCCGAATTCTACCAAAAATCTACAAATTCTTTTATGGACCCTAGTCCATCTAAAATAGCTAAACCCCTATTAAAACACAACCCTATATAAATGAAACACAACTTCATTCTCTTCTTCTTCTTTCCACCATCTTTACAAAATTTGGTTTCCTTTTTCTTACAGAAACACACACACACACACACTCTCTCTCTCTCTTTTTTTTTTATTTTTTTTATCTAATCTCTTTTTATTTCTTTATTGAATTTACTTCATTCTTTTTAAAAAAAAAAAATTATTTTCCCTCTCCTCTGTTCTATGATTTTTTTTCCATTAAATTTCTGCATTTAACATGATGGAACAATTTTAAATTCCCAAAGATATCAATCCAGATTTGTTATTATGAACTCATTGTGATCAATATAAATTTATTTTTTGATTTAGAGATGAATTTGTGGATGAAATAATTGTTTTAATATCAATTGAATTTGTGAAAGTTAATTTGATTGATTTCAATTCGTAATCGATTACCTGATTGTTTTTACTGTTCTCATTAATTTGTTTGTATTTTTTTGATTTTTAGATGAATTTGTAGATGAAATCATTGTTCTAATATCAATTGAATTTATTGAAGTGAATTCGATCGATAAATTCGTATCTATTATGATCGATTACCTGATACTTTTGAACATTTAGTAAACAAAATCTGTACAATTGCAAATTTTGAACATTTTAAAAAAAAAATCTGAACATCAAAATTTTTGAACATTTGGTGAAACTATCTGAACAATTGCAATGTACCATGCTTATACTTTTGAACAATCAGTAAAAAGATATGAACAACTGCAAATTTTGAACATTTAGTAAAAAAAATCCGAACATCGCAAATTTTGAACATTTAGTAAAAATATATGAACAATCGCATTGACCACACCTATACTTTTGAACATTTAGTAAAAAAATCTGGACAATTGCAAAATTTGAACATTAAGTAAAAAAATCTGAACCTCGCAAATTTTGAACATTTAGTAAAAATATCTGGACAATCTCAATGTATGCCTATACTTTTAAACATTTCGTAAAAAAATCTAAACAATTGCAAATTTTAAACATTTTGTACAAAAAATCCGAACACTGCACCACGTCCAAACTTTTGAACATTTGGTAATAAAATCTGAACAATCGCCTGTGGTCCAGCTATCCATAGACCAGGGTGCACAATAGACTTATTGCCAAAAATCAATTTGATCCGTCATTTTGCCTAAGCATTTAGACAGCAAAGGAAATGTTCAGTTCAGATACTTCAGAACTGTTCGGAACTTCGGACGCCTTGCTTCACATTGCCTAATATGTTCACATCTAACTTTTATATTGCCTTAACATTTAATGCCCGACCAATTCACCAATTACACCCTACACTTACTTAGTTACATTCCAAATACATGACATATTCGCATATTTTTCTAAAAAATATATAATCAGATTCAGTCGATTAAATAATTGAAAAGACAGAGTATGCAATCAATATTCATGAAAAAAATAGGGAACATGAGATAAAAAAAAAAATGTTACAAACAACTCAACCATACATTGATTGGAAGCGACCCATCTACTTAGCACTTGTTTATTTTGTGCTATCTTCAACAATTACACAACTCTACGAGTACCAAAAAGATGAAAAAAAAAATAATGTCTAAAAATCAATTGAAAGCGAAGAATATAAGCACTAATAAGCTCCTAAATGAAGTCCTAATTGAGAAGAAAACAGCATTATTAACGAAAAGTAGCTTAGAGTTGAACCTTTCAAATACCAATTTGTAATCACTTGATTGATCACTCAAATATCATTTCCTTCAAGCAAGAGTACTAAACTTTCCACATACCTATCAAGAAACTTTATCCTCAGCCAATTAACACCAGAGAGCGCCCTCAATTCATCCTCATGATTTTCGAGGTCGTTGTTCGAAATCGATCCCTTAGGTGAGTTACGAAACCATATCTCAACCTTATGACGCGAAAAACCTTGGGGAACATTATTTGTAACATCCAATTTAAATTGTTTAGTCCAATAAAAACCCGAACTGGAACCGGACTTTACTCCCTTCCATACAATACCATGTCGTCCGTTAGGTGTATCATAGTAGTCCAAAACTGCCAAAGAATTATCCAAAACTGCCGAGCATCTCTTGAGATACCGCTCCTCGGCCACGACCTCGATATCAGGACATTTCATGCTAGTAAAAGCCTCTTTATCAAGATCGAAACACAGAAAATGCGTCAATTTTGTTGTGTTGCTACTATTAATACTTCCAAGCCAATAAATATTGTTGTCAAAATTCATAGCCATTGAGAATACTGTAAAATGAATCATAGGCCTTGGAGCTATCCTCTGTTTCGGGTTTAACCAAGAACGATTCTGTAGATTGAAAACCTTTGTTCTTTCCGAGAATCTCACGGGACATAAGGATACTACCTTGTAAGTACTACTCACGAAATCGAACCCGAACCCAAACTTGACCCTATAATCCCACCCTCCCGGTATAAAACAAGGGATTGCCAACATCTTTCGGATAGACGGATTCCACAGTATAATATCCGAGTTGTCGGTTTCGTGTTTCGGAATAGTAGTGTACATTAGTAACACTCCATGAACATAGCTCGCAACACGGGTAACAACAGTATCTTGGAAGATTAGTGGTGTAATGAGCTGATCATCTTGAGTTAAGGAATCGGTTCGATGAATGGGTAACGCTCCTTGCTCTACTTGACGGCTTAAGAAGTGGTTTCGAGGTTGAAGTTGAAGACGAAGTAACGTGAAATCTTGATGGGTAATAATGGAGTTCCATTCTTTGCAAACACATCTTGCTTTTAGGATGTTTTGTACAGGGAGTTTGCTAAAAATATTCGTGAATAATTCACTTGGTAATTTATCGAACGGATTATCTATCGTCTTCTTCATCCTGCTTTTCGATCGAGTATTCGTCATTGACGGATTTGTTTGATTCAATTGAAGAAGGCGGTTAATTGAGGGATTTATGGGAAGGATGGAAAAAATTAATTCGGGTTTCTTTGATTTGATTTTATACGAGATTCTTTGATTTGATTGAATGTTGGTTATGACACAAAAATACCAATTATTATATAGAAACGTTTTGTTGGGTTAGGGGTTTTTTTAAAAAAAAAAAAATTGGGTTAGGGGTTATTATAGTAATTTAAGAGGGACTTTTTTCCAAAAAAAAAATAAATAAATAAATTTTAACAATTTTTTTTTAAAGAAAATTTTAAGAAGTTTACGGCTGATGATGTGATTCAATTCGATCATAGATATCAAAATTACCCAAGATAATTGGACAAGTGCTCTTTTTTTTTTTTTCCTTTTTCTTCTTTTTTTTTTTTTTTTTTTTTTTTTAAAAAAAAGAGCTTATAATTTACTCTTTATGCTCTTGATTTTTTATTTTATTTTATTTTGATAAAATAATTAAGTACAGAGTATAAAAGTTAGATTTAAGTAGACTTATATAGTTGGTGCACAATTTATTTATTTTTATTTTTTTTTGAAAATTAAAAGCTTTTATATATATATATATATATATATATATATATATATATATATATATATATATATCACAAAGTATGTGATTATGTGAAGTGGCCACACCATATCTTACCATGAATAATTCTAAACATAAATATCTTCCTTCTAATTATTCAAAACTAAACTTGCCTCAAATATATAAAAAAAATAAAAAATTACTTAACAAATAGTCCCATGAAGAACATCTTCCTATAGAAAAAGAGGTACAGGGGGTTCAAGTTTGAAAAGGAGTGGCTGAGGGATGATGATTGTGGAAATATTGTGGCTGACTCGTGGAGCATAATGGAGGGGTTTGATGCAAAAGAAAAAATTGAAAGATGCTCCAACAACCTGAAACAGTGGAGTAGTAAGCGACCCAGGGATTTTGCCAAGGAAATAAGCTTGAGAAGGGAGAAGATGAAACAAGCCATGCTTAAAGATCCCACGAAAGAAAATCTGGACAAAATTCGCGCTATTGACAATGAGATCGATGAACTCGAAAAGCGTGAAGAAGCCTATTGGGCTCAACGAAGTCGTCAGGATTGGTTAAGGGAGGGTGACAAAAACACGGCTTTCTTTCACAAAAAGGCTGAGCAGCGCAGACAGAGGAATACTATAAAAGGTATCCTCGATGAAGGGGGAAATTGGAGAAATGCAGAGGTGGAGGTGGAAGCTATCTTTGTGGAGTACTTTAAAAACCTTTTTTCATCTTATGGCGATAATGAAGTGCAGGAGGTGCTTGATGCAGTAGATTGTCGAGTCACAATTGAGATGAATGAAGAGCTCACAAAGCCTTATACCAGAGAGGAGATCGTCAAAGCTCTTAAGCAAATGCACCCTACAAAGGCTCCCGGCCCTGACGGGATGCCTGCTCTCTTCTATAAAAAGTTTTGGAATGTGGTTGGAGATGATGTGGTTGAATATATTCTGAATATTCTCAACAATGGTGGCCCGATCGATCAGATAAATCACACCAACATTGTGCTTATTCTGAAAATAAAGCAATGTAAGTCTACTAAAGATTACAGACCTATTAGTCTTTGCAACGTTCTCTATAAATTAGTGTCTAAAGTAATCTCGAATAGACTTAAGATTGTTCTTCCGGATGTGATTAGTGAGTCGCAGAGTGCCTTTGTTCCTGGTAGGCTGATCACAGATAATGTTCTTGTGGCTTATGAAATGTTCCATTATTTGAGAAAAAGAAAAAAGGAGTAAAGGGGTATATGGCGTTGAAGCTAGACATGAGCAAAGCGTACGATAGGGTGGAGTGGAATTTTATTGAGAGTATGATGCTGAAACTTGGTTTTGATGTGAATTTTGTGGCTCTCATAATGCGCTGTTTATCTTCGGTGTCATACTCTTTGCTGGTCAATGGTTTCCCCTCAGACAGATTTGTTCCTACTAGAGGTCTTCGCCAAGGGGATCCAATTTCCCCTTTCTTGTTCCTAATTTGTGCAGAGGGATTCTCCGCCCTTCTTCGCAATGCTGAGAGTCGGAAATGTATTCACGGGGTGAAATTGGGAAGATATGTGCCTTCTATATCACCTTTAAATTTTTTGCAGATGATAGCCTCTTATTCACAAGAGCAAGTGAGGCCGATGTAGAGGCGATTCTTGATATCCTTTCCACTTATGAGCTTGCCTCGGGTCAAAAATTAAATCTTGAAAAATCGGAGGTGTCTTTCAGTCGTAATGTTAGTGCTAATTCGCAAGAAATTCTTCAGTCGAAGTTGAACTTTACGAGGGTTGAAGGACATGATAAGTACCTTGGTCTCCCTACTTATATAGGTAGGTCCAAGAAAATCGTTTTTCAGACTATTCAAGACCGAGTTTGGAAGAAGGTAAAAGGGTGGAAGGAGAGATTCCTATCTAGAGCCGGAAGGGAAGTGCCACTAAAATCTGTCGCTCAAGCTATACCTACCTACGCAATGCAATGTTTCAAGCTCCCGGAATCAGTCATCGGTAATATCACTTCCTTATGCAGGAATTTTTGGTGGGGTCAGAAGGGTAGTGAACGCAAGCTGGCACTTATTTCTTGGGAGAAACTATGTAAATCGAAGAGGGAGGGTGGAATTGGGTTCAGAGATCTCAGAGCTTTCAATTGTGCTCTCTTAGCCAGACAGTTCTGGAGAATTGCTACTAACCCGAACTCTCTGGCTGGAAGAATTCTCAAGGGTAAATACTTTCAACGCTCTACAATTTGGGATGCAAAAGTTCCCCCAAATGCGAGCTACACATGGCGTTCTATCATCTCCGCTAGAGACTTGGTTGTAGAAGGTTCGAGTTGGCTCATTGGAAATGGGAAAAGCGTCCGTCTTTGGGGCGACAAATGGATCCCTAAGCTCCCTGGAAACAGAATTTCTTGCCCCCCACCTCAACCTGAGTTGCGCAATGCCACTGTTGATGGCTGGATTGACCCTATTCACCGTAATTGGAGAGTTCAGGAACTCAGAAATGCTCTATCTGAAATAGAAGTTGCAGCTATCACAAAGATCAGAATCCCAAATCACGAGCAGGAAGATGTTCTGCAATGGAAGCATACGAAGAATGGTGAGTTTAATGTTCTGTCTGCTCGTGGAGTAAACGTGGACAGAGTCTGCCCCCGTTGTGGTGAAGTATCTGAAACAACCCTTCACCTTTTCCTTGATTGTGCTGAAAGCAAAATTTTGTGGCGTATATCCCCTGCCAGAATTGACACCTGTATGCCTCGGTTCTTAACTCTCTATGACTGGTGCCTTGACACAATTGAGAAATGCAAATTGCCTCGCAGCTGGGAAATCATAATGTTGTTTGTATGGAAAATCTGGGAGTTAAGAAACTTATGGGTTTTCGAGAAGAAAAAGATTGATCTGCCAGCTGCCTGTATGAAAACTCTAGCTCTGCTTGGAGAATTTGAGGGCTGCCTCTATGCGTGAGAGCCCCACTGAACCACAATCCATTAGTGCTACAGAAAGTTGGAAGCCCCCCACCTCACACCACTTTAACTAGATTGTTTGATTTCTGTAGCTTTAATTTCTGTCCTAGATATTGTAACAAAGTAGCACACCTCATAGCTAAGTCCTCTATGGACCACAATGAACTTAGTGTGCTGATGGAGGACTGCTCCTCTGAGATTTGGCCTGCTGTACTTGACGATAAGGCAGCCATCTAATATTATTTCCTCTTTTGTTGCTTGTCAAAAAAAAAGAACATCTTCCTATAAACTATAAAGAGAATTAAGGATAATGTTTATGATTTGATTTGCACTAAGTTAGCATTATAAGTCGTGGCTAACCAAAACAAAAACGAAAATTACTAAATGTAAAAGCTTTTGAAATGTAACTATGTAAGTAATGTACAACCAGAAATCGTGAACAAGTAATATATCTAGCACAAGGCAAAAAAAGATGTATACTAGAGAATTATGCTATATATGCCTTTAAATCGTCTGAAATTCATCAGTCTCCCGGGCAGGTTGTCACAATCTCCCCTTGATTTCGCTTATGCAATACTAAGCTCTCCGCATAAGTCTCAAAAGATTTATGACCAGTATAATGATTCAAACATTGCATTTCATGACTTGTAAAATTATAAGAATACAATCCACCATTATTCTGTACAAAAAATGTATTTTTCCCAACATTGAAAATCTTAGTAAAAGTACTACTTTCAAGAAAGACGAATTCCTCGGAATCAAAATCAAACGATACAAGAAGAGTCTGTAATTCACACACAGTACCAGGTGGTCCAGATTTGTCCTCATCAAATCCTAACCAATACATAGCGCCTTTTAAATGTACAACATGCCCGTATACTTCATTGTAACTTAAAAACCCTCAAATGTGGACATCCAACCTATCTTTAACCCTCCAAACATGATCATTTAATGAATAAACCGCAATCGAAAACCTCCCAAACGTATCATACCCGAAGGCAACCAGCTTATAATCATTACTAGACGGAACGAAACCAAGCCAATAACCTACGCAACGATCTCGTCCAATTTCATTAAAAGGACAAGGGGGAATCACCAACGATTTTCGAATACAAGGATTATGCAATATAATGTTTGTACTTAAACAATAGGTATATCGATCAATTAAATACAATCCATAACAACTTCTTAATACAATGCAATTCTCGGGAGTTTCGAAAAATACATCAATTTTCTTGAATGTGTCAATACTATGAAGGGTGGTTTCACTACACTTTGAGGCTAACAAGTAAGATTTATTGCGATGATTGTTGTAAGTTTTGAGATGCATAAGAATGAAATCAGAGGAATCAATTAAAGAACACCATGTTTTACAAACACACCTGAATTTCATTAGGGATTTCGCCGGTAACCTGGCTATGATCTCTGTGCATAATTCTGGCGGTAAATACGGCAATTTATCGTCGTAAGTTGTCTTCTTGCTACTGCTTGGTTCTACCATTGTACTCGATTGAAGCATTAAACGTCACAAATTGAGGTTGAGATACTATTCTATGTGGCTAATCTATAAAGAGCTTTTTTATTTTTAAATTAGTAAATTATATACGTATATTTGTTAGAATCCTAATCATGGTTGAATTAGGTTTACGTAAGTTTATTGAATTATGAATTTTGCACAAATAATTTCTAGTACTTACTCAGTTTCTTTTTAGTTGCTACACTTTCTTATTTTAGAAATTCTTATTTAGTTGCATCATCACTTTTCATTTTTGACATTTCTTACTTTCTATCTCTTTTACTCATATGGATCCCTTTTATTTTTCTCACTTTCTCTCTCCCCTTAAAAATTATTGAGATCGACCATTAAAAATAAAAAGTGTAGCAACTAAAAAAACGAACGAAGTAAAAAAATTTACTAAGTATTTTAGATTAGGGAGTAGGGACGTTTTCAAAGGTTAGAATAGGGCCCTAAAATGTTTAAGATCACCCTGTTTCTTGGCATCATGGTCTATGGATAAAAGTTAAGTCCCTTATTTCGTTTTAACATTAGATTGGTATTAATAGCATCATAGGCTCATAGCATGCAATTCAATAGGAAATTCCTTTAACACCTGATAACATAAAGAAATCTAATCATAGATTATAATGAGAACTAATTGGTTATTAGTGTATTGATAACTGGTAATTGGGGCTGCATTTGATAGGGTCCCTTCAACAACAATTGAAGGGGATTGGAACATACCACTTAAAACTGAGCCCTAAATTTGAATTAACATAAAGGGTGAACTGTGTAAAACACCAAAAAAAAAATTAAAATAATACGAAATAATAATAACTACAAATATAAAGAAAAGATCAAAGACAATATTTTATAATTCAGTTTGCTAAGTCAACATTGTAAGCCGTAGCTAACCAAAACAAAGATACCAAAACAACTAAACATTTATATAAACGTAAAAGCTTTTGAATGTAATTAGTTGAAACCAGAAATCGTCAACTACTTTTTAATCCTTACAACAGTCTTGTTAAAAAAAAACGAACTAGATGAAAGGTGGAAATCTGAAAGAGAGAATCTAGCACAAGGAGATAATAATAACAACTATCTGAGAGATTATGCTTATGCTTGTAAATCGTCTGAATCCGTCGATCTTTTTCGGGATCTTTGCGGTAATGATAGATGTCAAAATTCAAAATCTTCCCTTGGTTTCGTTTGTGCAATACTAAACTCTCCACATAAGGCTCAAAAGATTTATAGCCATCACTATAATGATAAAAATATTGCATCTTATGACTTATAATATCATAAGAATACAATCCAGCATAACTTAGTATCAAAAATGTATTTTTCTCAACATTGAAAATGTTGGTAAAAGTACTGGTATCAAGAAACTCATAAGCATATAAATTTGAATCTCCAGTATACCATCTTTCACCAGAACCCATATGCAGATACGCTCATAAGTCATACTGAAAACTGCAATTGACTCACCTAAGACAAAACTGTGTTTACGGGAACTTTTTACTGCAGCTTCAGGCAAATCCACAAAGTCGAATTCCTCGGAATCAAAATCAAACGATACAAGATGAGTGTAATAATTATAATAATACATAGTACCAGAACCAGGTCCAGATTTGTCATCATATCCTAACCAACACATAGTTCCTTTAAAATATAAATCATGTACACATACTTCATTGTAACTCCGAAGCCCTCGAATGAGGGAATCCAACCTATCTTTAACCCTCCATATATGATCATTTAATGAATAAACCGCAATCGCAAACTCGTGATGCTCATCATACCCGTGGGCAACCAGCTTATAATCATTACTAGACGGAGCGAGACCAAGCCAATAACATATGTCATAACATCCCTTGGAAATTAAAGGACAAGGGGGAATCACCAACGATTTTCGAATAAAAAGGATTATGCAATACTATATCTCCAAACCATTTCATCAAAATCAATCCATCACAACTTCCTATTACAGTGCAGTACCCAGTAGTTTTATAGAATACATCAATTTTTCTGAATGTATACAATGAATGGTAGATTCATCCGACTCCGAGGCTAACAAATAAGTTTGATTGCGATTGTTGTTGTAACTTTTGAAATGCATAAACATGAAAACAGAGGAATCAATTGAAGAACACCATGTTTTACAAACACACCTAAATCTCATTACGGATTTTACCGGCATCCTGGCTATGATCTCCGTCCATAATTCCGGCGGTAAATATGGCAATTTATCGTCCAAAGTTGTCTTCTTGCTACTGCTTGATTCCGCCATTGTATTCAAATTCAATCAAAGCTAACAAAAACAACGTAAAGACTATGCTTGGCTAATCTCTATGAAGTTTTATTTTAACAAAAAAATAGATTAATTAAGAGTAGTTTTATGTTAGATTAGTAATTTATTTATCCATATACTTCGTAGTTGTTAGAATCCTAATCATGGTTGAATTAGGATTCTTACACAGTAGAGCAAAGTTATAGATATGATGGTAATTAATGACAAACTTTTAAAAAAAATCGGCTGAAAATTATTATTTCTCGGGATAACAGTGTTTTTTTTTTTTTTGATAATAACAGATTCTAGTTATATGTAAATAATTTGCAAGTTTATGGAGGTAAGAAGGGCAGTAAATCACATATTCGTAATATTACTGGAATAAATACCCAAAATAAATAGAATTAAAAAAAATTGCCTAGCAAAATAAAATCAAATATTAATTCCTCAAAAGATTTACTTAATTTGTCACCCTGTAGAAACTTAGGTTCTTAAGTCACACACTGTTTTCTAAACTAAATGGCAATTGGCAAAGATAAATAAATAAAATAAAATAAAATAATAAATTGGAAACCAATTTTTTATGCAAATCGGGCTGGAATTTTTTTTTGAATAATCTCCTAAGCATTGTCCATTGTAACAAATCACTTTTAGTTTTTCCTAATTTCATAGTTAATGATGAGGATGATTGTAAATCCCAAGCAAAACACAGGAACACATAATATATTGTATAAACCTGAATTCAAAAACATGGCGTCTTATAAGGTTACAGTCTAGCAATTACAAAGCATATTGACTAGTCGAGTCATGCTTAAGCATACAAGTTGGCCTGCCGCCTGCGCACCTGTAACTAATAACTGTGACTATCTATCTCTATTTCTTTCAAGGTCCAACTTATATCGGTCTCTCCAAAAAATTAAATAAAAATAAAAAAATTTCTCCATATAAAGAATACAATTCCGAAAAAAATGAGGACCTAATAATATTCAAAATGGCGGGAATTCAGGCAGGAGTGCAACAAGATCTGCCTCGTGATGAGTTCATACCTTTTTTCCCATTGATAGTACATGCACTCAACCAGCGGTCCAGCGCTGCAGCTTTCCCTTTGATGCCTATTATCGCGAAGCATCATCTGGTAACTAAAAGAGTATTTCTTCGGCTTAGGTTTTAAGATCATCAGATATTGCCGAAGGTATACAATGTGTTGTAAGAATATCTACAGTAGCAGCTTTTGCTGTTTCTGTCCGAAGAACAACTATCTGCAGACAGAGAAAAAGATAGCAAATGAGCCACTTTGAACGTTGTTGTCATGAAGAGGTGGAATGTAAACAGCTGCATGTGCTACATATATAATAGGCCCGAGAGTACCCAGAATGGTGCTCCCGTGCCAGTGTGTGCACCCTTTGAGGTACACCCAGGTGTATGTTATTAAATGGACCAAGAAGACAGATTAAAGAGAACCAGAGAAAGAGACCTGGTCATAATCCAAATCGAACTTCATAAATTCTTCCTTGCAGGACTCTGCCATACTTGCCAAGCTCTTCAAGTTTCTCACAGGATTACCATTAAAGGCAAGGACCTGACAGCAAAAAGCAACAGAAAGTCAGAAATAAATCACACGAACAGCTATAGACCTCTCTAGAAACAAAAATCTCCAACAGAACAGCTAAAATATATACCTGAGTGTTTACGATTTCTTCATACCCAATATTAATGTCAGCCACAAGAACCTAATAGCAAAGAAAAATAATAAGCAAGGTCTACACATGCTTCAACTTTGATCTCAAAGTTTTTTATACCTCAGAGGACTGAAAATACCTGAGATACAACAACAAGCTCTTCGTCTTTTGATTGTGGCATTGAATGCAAAAGCTTGTCCAGAAGCTTGACTGGGGCCTCATACTCGTACTCTTTTCCATACTGTCATAATATAAAAGAAAATTAAATACAGAAAACAGCTCAGTTTAAAGCAATTCAATAATATATATATGGAGGGGTAGACTAAAACATGTAGCAAGTTTATCATAGTCTAATGTGTAATAGATCAACCTAAGGAAGGGTAGTATAGGTATTCTACTAATATTAGCTCACCAGGTTAATAGTCCTTAGTATAAATAGAGAGGGAAGGAAAGGAAATGGGTAGGCAAAAATTGGATGAAACTTGTTGAGAGTTGTGACCTCAAGTCACTTGGAGAGTGGTAACCTAAAGTTACCGATTGGGAGAGAATCAAGCCTCTCGAAAGCTTGATAATCTATCTTACGAGTAGTTTGTTTAGTGTGTTAGTGTGTGTCATTTCATCTCATCAATTATAATATTTCACATTTAGCTTTTATTATTCCTTCTTTAATCTGCAATTTTCTGCCATTAGTTACTGTTTAATACCTAGCCATGTCGGTACATGACATAATGTCATAGCAACACCCCAGGCTTCACATATATCACACATCATATGTAAGGAGTTCTGCAAGTCGAATGAGATGGACCAACACAATCCAGAAGCAAAAAAGACCATTAAAATATGGATAGCAGTCATAGTACAAGTATCGAAATGGGCAAGGATAAAATAAGCATAAATACTAGCGAAGATATTACTTCATATATAAGTAGTTCAAGGAGCACAATAAATGAGAGATTACAAACTTTACAAGCAATCATATAAACATTTTCATTGAACAATAAAATCAAGCAATGACAAATTCAGGCCCTTCATATAATCACACAGCTGAGACTTTTTCACGTAAAATGAGAAGCAACCTCTAAACTTGAACCTGCTTCGTATGTTTATGAGAAATAAACCTCTTAATTTACAGAGAGATCTTGAAAAGCAATGGGGTAGAGGGATAAGACTTTAAATTAAATTCCATCACTATAAAAGCTTTAGAAATCACTAAACACCATTTACCATTCTTTAAGATAAGATTTAATTATGGAGGAAATTAAAGATAAAATGCCAAGAACCACATATCCATCTCGAGTCCAAAAAGAACTGAGAGCCTATTCATTGCTTTCCAACCAAATCACTCATGGAAGATTCAATAAGTATTGCCACGAAAACACAAAAGTAACGCACAACACCCTTCCCCCCCCCCCCCCCCCACACACACACACACATTACGGAGAAAGAGAAATATGAGGTGCCTGACAAATCCTACTATAGCAATGAACCATTTATTTGGGTGAAATTCTTAGATCTTTTCACAGTTGAGGAAAGCTTATTCTTCAAATAACCAGAAAGATACATCAAACAAAGTAAATATTACTTCTGTAACCAGAAAGATATAGAGGCATTATATTGATGGGGAGCAGGGGAGGTAGAAGGAAGTTCAAAGTCAAACCTCAGAACGGAGATATGGAACTGAAACAGCCGTAAATACAAATCCTGCAACTATATAATACGAAGGAGGTCTACCCTTGCTATGTGCAGGAATGAGCCTTCTGTGAGTACCAAGTTTAATGTTGAATGTGTGCACTGCCGAATCACGCAGTACCTTGATTTCAGCCTTATCTCCAGTATATTTCTGGGATATAAGATAACTGAAACCCATACGCTCTCCATGCCTGAAAGGAACTATCAAAATAATAAAAGTTAGTTTAATGTTGATATTTTTCACACTTGCATGGGCCACATTAGACATTATCAGCAAAAGTAAAATTTGGTTCAATCAATCTATAATTTCAGTTGATATGTAACAGCACAGAGCAGAAAAGGTTCAATCAATCTATAATTTCAGTTGATATGTAGCAGCACAGAGCAGAAAAGGCAGTATAGTGCACTAGAAACGCATAATTCAATGTTGACCAATATCCTACTTTGCATCCTCTGACCACAAAACAATGTAGAGTAATCAAAGCCTATCAAGGGACCTTCCTCAAATCAGCAATGATAACATAAGTAGCAATTAACCAAACTCCATTTCCCAGTTGAGCCAGCTACAGACTAGAATCAATTTAAGACCAAAAATCTTTTTAAAGAGACAGAGTAAGAACACATTAAATTTTAATCAGACAGTAACTGATCAGCAACTCAAATGCTAAAAGGGGGTGGGCAGAAGAAAAATAAAATATTACACACAAAAAAACAATTATTTAGGACCAAGAACTTCAAGAAAAAGGGAAAGACAATGGATTCCTTACTTCCCTTGTCTTTAAAAATCTCTTTAATTACTCAACATAAAAGAGGTCATACATTGCAACCAAAGTAAAATCTTTCCTCAAAAAAAAAAGAAAAAAACAAAAGGAGACCACAATGACATTCATACTTTACATATTGCTATCGAAGATTGACCCAACATGTAACAAAGACTGTAAAATACCTGATCTCAATGAGTTTATAAACAAAATAGCAGGGTTATTGAAAGTTCAACAGTTCAACTAATTCCAGAGAAATAAATAGTATATTATTTAGAGTCACTTGATTCCAATCTAACAAAAATCAGAGCATTGCCAAAATTTATTAAACCTGCAAATTTTAGAAATCAAGGTATAATAAAATACAGTTGCAGCATCCACAATATACAAACTCTTGTTTTACATACAGTCAGGATGGAAATTTGACTGCCGGGGATATGGACATTCAGACATGTCATATCACAGAAAAATTATTTAACTTTCGGAGAAAGCCAAGTTCAACACCTCAATAACTAAATGCTCATTAATTGTGAACAAGTCCAAGTAGATAGGTGAGCATCTAAACCAAACAAGATATTACAGCGTGAGAAATTCTAAGATAGCCATTAGCTGAGGTAATTTACTTTCCGAAGCTAGCTAAGGAACCTTTCCATTATAGCACAGACATATAAATGTATTGATTATATAATGTTCCCAAGGGGAAGGAGTTAGAGTCATTACCTGTTCCATCATTTGCAATATCAACCCCATCAAAGCTGAGTATAACATCCGATGGCTTCAATACTTTGGACTCAGGAGCAGTAGGGTCAACACGACGAACACGTACACCTTTCTGATCAGATTTCATTCCCATTGCAAGGCGTAGGTCTGGATTCTCCATCTTCTGCCACTCGACACCAAGAATCGGAAACCCTAAACGGGGAATAGTGATCATGAGTGATAGATATATCAGAAAGTGAGAAGTATAATATTCCAACAATTAGAAGGTGCATCTGCAACTCTGCGACAAAAAAAGACACAACCCATGCTCCATAAAAAAGTAAAAAATAAAAATAAAAAAAAAAAGCCACAATTGCCCAACCTACCTGTATAAGCCCCATTCTTCTCATAATCCTGAATAAAGTGTGTGATGACAGGTGTAGGTATAACATAACCAATATTCTCTGCATCGTCATGTTTCAGGGACTGAAATGCAATGCCCACACAACTGCCTTTGTCATTAAAGGCTGGACCACCAGAATTTCCAGAGTTTATGGCAGCATCAATCTACAACAACATCAATGCTGAAAAAATTAATTATACGAGCGCAAAGAAGCAAAAAAAATAAATAAAAAAAAAAGCAAGAATTGCGTGCGTATACATACCTGCAACCCCAACAATTCAGTGGACCCATGAACATAAGACAAGATCTCAATGCGAGAGACAACTCCACTGGTAACAGAGATTGTATCCCCTCCTATTGGATATCCTACAACAGTCACAGCATCTTGAAGAGCAGGTAACTTTCCGAACTCCACAGGTGAAACCCCTTCCCAGAACTCATCATCGCTGACTGTAAGCAAAGCTGCAAAACCAACATGTGTGTTAATTGTCCATCAGAAACTCTCAAATCAAACTAAGTATACACACTCGCATAATTAAAAACCACATCAGAGCTCTAATAGATGCAGAGGGTAAAGCCAAATAAACCACCAACAAACATCAATAATTCCAAATTGTAACGCATTAATGGATACAAAGAATATAGTTGATAAGATTGTTGGAACAGAGAATAAGGTTTCCGAGGTAAATTTCTATCCATTTGTCCAGCTCCAAGTTCCAACACCTACATAAAGAGCATTTTTCCACTTGTCATTGGCATCATCAACTGCAATACCTAGTATTAAAAAGTTTTTTTTTTTTGGAGAGAAAGAGAAGGGGGGGAAGGCTAACAGCCCAACAATGACAGTCATAAGAGCTTTCATGGGCCTAAATAAGCATGGCAAGCGAGGCCTGTCACTTGAAACAGAAGACCTTATAAAATAAGCTATCAAAATTCAGAAATGGAATGGCTTCAGACATTCTCCATTAAGAAAGCAGCTCAGTTATAGGAAGCTTATGAATTTCGATGATTGGTACAACAAAGACCCTTAACTTGAAAGCTCAATTCCTAACTCTTCACCAATGGCCTCCCTTAAAGAAGCACTATTAGATAAGGTGGTGTTGTGCAACAGGATTTGTTCTTCTCTAAACTTCTTAATGATTCGGAAGAGGAAACAATATAAACAGCTAATTTGATGTCTATGCTTGTTATTGAACCTACCCTTAATCATTCTTTGGTATGATGTCATAGTGGAGGACTTTTTCAGTGAGAAAATTTGCAGTATACTTGTAGGAGCTTCACAATGTCTTACCTTCCTAGACCATTTTCAAGTTCAGAGGTTCCTATTAAAGCACGTATAAATGCCTGGCAGCTACGAAGCGATGTTCCAGCAAGGATGAAACTGAATGCAGGAACTTCAGTCTAGCAAGAACTACAATATATTAATATGGTGAAAAGATCTAGTTCACCTCCTACTCCTGCTCTTGGGTGCTTTCCTTGTGACACTTGAGTAGTTGAGGTTCAAGTTCAACCCAGTATAATGAAAGATATACTTGTGACTAGTAGGATGCAGGATCAAGTACAAGGGCATGTGGATTGCAAAAATGAGGAAACTAATTTCTTAGAAAATTAGGTGAGGTAGATAGGAGAGGAATTGACGTGATTTTAAAGGGGTAAGCCTTGTTAAGGAAAGCATTCAAGACGTACAACAAAAAAGGTCCAACTATACCAGTTCTCCAAGGAATATAAATATTATACAAGGGCTTAATCTGCTTGTTTTCTTAGAAACATAACCTCAGTGGGAGGCAAAATAACACTACGTTACAGAAAACTATTTCCTACAGATACTCAGATAGACATGAACAACAATTGAAACTGTTTTGGATGCGTCTTTAACCCCATTAAGGCACTTAAACCACTGCTTTACTACATCCATTCTCACAACAGGGTCAGATCATTTCATTTATAGATGCAATTTTAGAAGTTCACTAGACAAGGCTACCCAATATGAGGACAAATTTTAATCACTAATCCTGATTCCATTACCTAACACTCTCTCCGTCTCAGACTAACTAAGACATTGGTCGTTGGACTTTTTTTCACCATTCATATATTAACTTTGACTATAACTTTTTACTAATATAATAAATAAATAACATGTTTCATCACAAATATTGTTAGACAAGTATTAATATAAAGTTTCATACTCCGTAATATAACTTTTTTATAATTTTCATAAATATTTAAATATATAAAAATAAGGTCAAACTAGTGCATTGACATGTGTGCAAAGTTTGATTGTGTTAGTTATTTGGGGACAAAAGAAGTAACAAAATGGATCATTAAAGTAATATGAAGAATGGGTGAAATCCAATGGTAGCAACTAGCAAGCAAGAAAATGACTGGAAATCCTAATAGAGAAGAAATAAGAAAGATAATTATAACTAATAATAAAAATCTAATCCAAATCATATAGTTTGCGCAGAAGCTCAATTTTAGTTCCAAACTCCAAGAGGCAAAGTTTAAATAGGTTAGCCTTTCATATCTCTATCCACCGGACAGTTCACGCATCAATTACAGGTTCATTACTGAACTGGCGACAAAGCACCAACACGGCAACAACATCCAGATATGAGCATCCAGAAGTATAGTTCAATGCTCTACCACAAAGCTCCAAAAGGAAAAATTAATTTAGGTCAGCATTTTTTGAAAATACATCAAAATTGGATCCTCTAGTTAATGAATGCATCCATCACTCACACAATCGTTATATTCACCTAAAAATACAAGAACAAGTGCATTTGAAGTTTTCTGCTTGAGCAGCGAAGAGGTGACCTATTTACTTAAAGAATATTGGCCTCCTAATAATTCCTAATGCAGTAACCTGCAACATTGGGTCAATAACAACATTAACAGCCACTCATAATTGATCCAAATATTAACTACGAAGCTCTAAATGTAAGATTACTATGCCTAGCAGTCAAGATTAGGTCAGAAAACATTCTCAAGAACATCATGAAATTGAGATGACAATAGAGCAAAACAAGGTCAAATCAAGGTCTGTTGTATCCATATAAAAGTAAACCTTAAACCGAAGTAAACTAATTCCATGCATGGTGCCTAACTCAAATCAACATATTCATACTAATATTAAAGGAAGTGATTTTTGGAGACACGTAATAGTAAAAGGAAGTAAGTTGCACATTAAAAGCTATAGATCCATATTAAATCCTTGTTACCAGAAGCAAAAGCATCAGCCACATGGAAAAATATAGAGGATAAATAGAAATGATGGGACAGGAAACTGCCTCATGTACCCCCTCCCTCCCTGCCTCCCCCAAAAAAGGCAAAAAAAAAAGAAACAGAAACAACACAAAATGATTAAAGTGACATTTAAGCTACTCTCCCTATTCACTCTGTTTGGGCATTATACTATTGACAAAAGAAACAGCTACGCAAAAAAAAGATAAAATCTTCTGCGGTTACCATATATACTCTCATATGACTATTGACTAATGCTTTATCTGTAATTAATGAAATTCATAATTTGGGAATATTTGGATATTGTAATGTACAAATCGATTCCAGTTTGATCATTTTTAGACATCCAAAATGGAAAGCAGAGGATAAAAAGAGCATTTGGGATTACTATGATCACTGAGAACCCTGACAAAAATTTAAACAAGACAAGCCCAATGCGTTCTTGCCAAAATCATTTTTATTCAAGCAAACTAAATTCCAAATATAGCTCAGTCAAGAAAGCAATTTAAACATGTATATTTGGTTCCCCAAAGAAAGACAACACTAAATCTTTAGAGGATCTAAAAAAGCACTTCTCAATGGCTTACGAGCTTGATGTTTAGGATTCACCATGCCAAATAGGAATGTTAACGAGAAAGTGTAATTGCCCCTTTAATACTTATTTTGGGTTCTCAACATGCAGAGTCCAAAAACAAATGTGCCTCTACAAGCTTCTACTCCCTCTGTCCCCAATTGTTTACCCCAAACCATAATTTCACTTTATTAAGGCTTTGGGCAAAAAATGGTGCACAAGGGTTGACACAAATATCAACGAGGAGAGAGATAGAGAGAGTGCAAGTGGGAAAACATGTCAAAAGTTGTATGGGGCAATCTTTTGGGGGGACACCTTAAAAAGAAAAGTGGAGCAAACAATTAGGGACAGAGGGAGTAGTAAACAAGCTTAACTATCATTCACCTATGCACATAAAAAAGGGAGCACCAACTTTTAAATGTTCAACTTGCTTATTAAAAAGCCTTACAAATCTTCCAACTTTGACCCATTACTTCAATAATAGAAAGCACAAGACTTTATCGAATACAAGACAAAGATATATTGCAAGCTCGTTCGCTTTTAACCTCAAACGTTATCATCACCCTCACCAATCAAATATAAAAGAAATCTTTGCTAAGTTCCAAATAAATCTCAGTATTAAACATTAACTGCAAAGAGACACCATTAACAACAAACCTTTTATGGAATTAAACAAAGAAAATCCCCAACACATTAACACCACCAAAACTTATGATCAAGGGTATCAAATATTCAATCCGTACACTCTTTAACCAAGAACATCATTATCAACACCACTAATAATTATCAAACCAATGATTCCATACTCCGTACATTGTAGTACACCATTCTTTACAACCTAATGTGGCTTTTTCTAAATTAAACTTCTGCAACCTACATTCCTGCTTCATCAGCTATGTTTCTCCTCCTGTCCTCCACAAGTATCCAATATAAATGCTCATTCAATTGTGCAACTTGATCATTTTTTTGCAAAAAAAATTGCAATTACTACCCCAAAAAAGTAATTGGCTAACTCATGTAAGAGTGCAGGCTGGCAATTGATTGAAATCAGCAACACAATTATAAAATTCGAAGGCACATTCCCAATATCATGAACAAGCTAACATCCCAAAACACAAAATTCACTACGTTCATAATCACACACACCATTCTTACACCATCTCCCAATCTTAATTTTCTCAGGAGCCAACTATTAATAATACAACATTTAGAAAACCTAATAAACCCCACTAAACCATTGCAAGAACAACAATAATAATTCAACAAATTCACTAAACAAACAACATAGAAAGTTCAAAATTGAATACCTATATCACACTCAGTACCAATAGCAAGAACAGTAGCTAAGTACTTAGTATCAGAACCACGTTTCTTGAGCTTAACCTGAGTATAATGTTCCACAGAATGAGCATTCGTCAAAACCCTTCTTCCACCAATCACAAACCCACTACTCGACGAACTATACTGCCGTTTTCTCTGCCATGGGAGCGAGAAATTCGGCTCAGTATGAACACAAAACACCTTAACAACCGCATCCATTGCCGGCATAACTCGAGCCGATACCGCGTTCGCAACTAACTCCCACGCCGCCGCGCCATTAATGGCGGCTCCGTCGGACCGCCGAGGTTGCTGCTGCTCATCGGAACTATCTGGGGATTTCCGGGAACGACCTCCGCGGCGGTGGCGGCGGCGAGATGAAGTGGGTTGGTCGGAGTGGTCGGCGGAGAGAACGACGTCGGATTGGTCGAAAGAGGCGGCGGAAGTGGTGGTTGCCGGAGGAGAAGTTTCTAGGGTTTCGGAGGATTGGTGTTTGCGACTTCGCTTTCTCTTTCGATTGTTGTCGCCCATAATTAAGGTGGAAAAATGGAGGTTTTTGAAGGTTTGTTAATGGCGGAGAAAAGAGGGAGGGAGGAAGGTGGTTTTATAGTTTGTTTTTACGACAGGGTTAGCCGGTGAATAGAGAGAGAAGGAAGAGTGGTGATTATTTTTAATTTTTCATTTTCAATTCTCGTTTCCAAGTTCTTCAAAGGTGTCCCCAAAGTATTTATTTTATACTTAACCTAGAAAAGTCCGAGCCATCCATGGTTTATTAAATTAATTGTACTCGTAATTAAAATACGAGTGGGAAAGGATCTAAAAATACAAATAACAATTTTGCCATCATAATAAATAAATTGTTTAAAAAAAAATTACGGAGTATGGTGTAATAAATAAATTTTGTAGGCAACTTAATAAAATATCTATCATGACATTTGAACTCAGATCACAACCACAAAAATATGCATTAGAAGACTTACCATCTCATCTATTGATTAATCTTAGATTAATACTCGACTCATAAATATCATACTATATATAGATTGGAAATCTAAACATTTAATGAATGCGATTTTTAAATAAAAAAAAATATATATATATAATATTATATCAATATAAATTTATCTAGCTACTGAATATGTGTCATAACTGTCATTAATGAAACGAAATAATATCTAAAATCTCGATAATAGATTAATAGTAAATGTTATAAATATTAAAAGGAAGGTTAAATAGATTAATATCTAAAATCTCGATATATATAGTAGACGTTATAATTGTCATCTGAATCTACGTACATGTCATATCTGAAAAATATGGTGTACAAAAAACATAAATTCAAGGTTGTATTATATTAATCAAGCATAAATAGACAAATAAACAAAAAGTAGGTTTTGATACAACTAATTATAAATACACATTAAAGCTCTAATTTTATATTCCTTCGATATAGATCTAACGCCTTGTCCCCAGAAAAAAAAAAAAAAAAAAAAAAAAAGTATTAAGTTGAATGAGTTCTATTGATTAATTTGATAAACGAAACCAAAAGAGACTGGTAAATGCCAAAAGTAAAAGCTTAACAAAACTAGCTATCATTGAAGTTTGAAGTTTTAACATTAGCAAAACAAGTTAAACAACATACCTATATCACATTCAATTCCAATGGCTAAGACAGTGGCCAAGTACTTGGTATCAGACCCACGTTTCTTAAGCTTAACTTGAGTGTAGTAGTCAACTGAATGAGCATTCGTTAAAACTCTCCTCCCTTCAATGATAAACCCACTGCTTGTGGATTTATACTGTCTCTTCCTTTGCCAAGGAAGCGAAAAATTTGGCTTTGTATGCATACAAAACACCTTCACCACCGCGTCCATCAGCAACCCGTTATCACAACCACATTTCTTCTCCAACGTCATAGGCATATTGTGTTAGGATTGTTGTTTTGTTTGTAGAAGTTGTTACTACTGCGGACTGCCCATATCCTTGAGGTTCTTATATACCGATTAAGTTGTAGTTGGTGCATTGTGCCGTGGTCCATGGGAAGTGGGTCGAAAGCAAGAAATAGTACGATAAGTACAGTTCGCTTCTTGTGTAAGAACTAGTACAGTCCTTACTATGTCAACGTTTCACATCAATTGATAGTGTAGAAACAATTGGTCGGTATTGGAAAGAATGCACATAGATTAGGCTGCCTTGTCCTTGTGCACCAAGAAGCCTCAATGAAATTTCGTAGCAACTTTGTGAGATTTCGAGTTTTTAACCCTTTAGTTGGTTTGTATGAGTAAAGTAGATGTACTATGTTTTCCTTCATACCATATGAAATACTACACTATCATCATCAATCAATCACCAATTCACCATAGCTTTATACTGTACTCTATAATCGCATACGATTGAGTACTTCTACATTCGCCAATTAGGGAAATCGAATGAACGAAAGATAATTGTTTCTCTGAAAATATGAGTTAGCAAAAAAAAATGGTGCAGATAAAGAAAAACGAAATAAAGGATGACAAATCTAAGCATTTTCACTCTCAAAAAAGGTGAATCAATCAGCTTTCATACAATACATATAATAAAGTACAAACTTGACTACTACATTGTATTTAAATTGGCTGCACATAAAACAATAGTTACAATGAAGCATACATTACTGATCAAAAAATAAAGCACACAATTGTGAATTTGTGATGACCCGTGATGTAGGCATGTAAACCGAATCCTTGCAGACAGGTAACAAAGTATACAACTGCAAAACAACTATGTATGGTACGCGAGCTTCAGACTTCAACGCATGTTTTAAGATCATCAGACATTGCAGAAGGAATGCCGTGTGTCGCCAGAATATCTGCAGTAGCAGCTTTAGCAGCCTCAGTCCGAAGAATAACTATCTGCCATAAGAAACAAAACAATCAATTGCAAACTGCGTTCAGTTGTGATGCCTCCCAATTCCCAAATGTGTCCATGCTTATATTTATAATCACATATGTAATGCTAGAGAGAGCTTATAAAAGAGAGAAAACAGACCACGTTGAAAATTAGATCAAACTTCAGATATTCATCATTGCAGGACTCCACCATATTTACCAAGCTTTTTAAGTTCTTCACAGGGTTACCATTGACCGCAAGAACCTAACAGGAAAGCAGCAAAAAAATGTTGCATTGATAAGCCAACTTTCAGAGAGGAATGAAATCAGCACAAGCTCACAGCTGAAGAATGTGGCAGAGGGAGGAAAATCACAGGAACAATTTACATAGACCCCTTCCCCCCCCCCCCCCCCCACACACACACACACACCAAAGAAACAAAAGATACTTCTAAGTAAGTTTAAATGAGAAGCTAATACATACCTGGACATTAGCAAGACCTTCATATCCGATGTTAATGTCAGCCACAAGAACCTACATAAACGGTGACTAAAAGATAAGGTATATATATATGCAATCTGCAACTCAACACATTGTATCATGAGGGAAATTGCTGCAACTTAAGCATATCCAATAATGAGAAAAGACAACATAACTAGGACCATCAATGTGAAATGACAAGTGAGAAGTTGCAAATCGGTGCTTCCTCAGATGTGCAATTCTTTATCTAGTCTCGCTTGCAAATCCTTTGATTTCAACGTAAAAGCCATACATAGTATCTTCCATGTAATAAACTTAATAATATATCAAGAAAATCACTGATTAAAAGAAGATAACTCAATACAACAGATACTTTCAAGCCAATATGAGCCAAACTAAAAAAAAATCTGGGAATTTAAATGGCACCGATAGTTGGTAAACATGTGAAGCAGATAGTTGGGAGTGTGATTCTCGGGTAGTCATCTAAGAGTTAAGCAGGGGTCTCGATGAAAGCCCAGGCAAGTCTTGTAGTGCCTGCCTCAGCCAACACAAATGTAATAGATAGTCTAGAGGGAGAGCAATGTATTGCAACATAACTAGTAGCTCAGGGAATAAGTTCAGTAGTTTTTTTTTTTTTTTTTTTTTTTTTTTTTTGAAGAGGGGAGAAAAAGGAAGTTGGATATCCATACATAGAGGAGTCTATATATAGAGGAGATCGGTGAGAGTGAAAATAATCAGAATTTTGTTAAGAGAAATTTACCTTGCATCAGATTGTTGTTGAGAGTGTACAGCAACTTAAAGCCCAATTTCATGATTTAAAGGCATCACATTACAGTCAATCATCCAATTTCCCCAAATTCTCTTCTTCCTCAATTCTCTATTTCTTTTTTTATTTTTTATTATTGTTGATATACTGTACCACTACCTTTATACCACATTAGTTGCTACAATTTCCTTCTAGGGGTGACCCAAATAAGTTGCATATCACATCTGGTTCTTTTCTCTACTATCTCTCTAAAGTTGGAACCCACACTTACATTTTTCTATAATTTGTTATTTACACAAAAAAGTGTGCCAAAACCAAATGTTGCAACAAATGAAGACGAAGCTAAGAGTAGAAGATAGAAATTCTAAAATCTAAATAACAAACTGAAAAAAGATAGTTAAGTATAGAGTTGATGCAATTAAATCATCAACAAAGTTGTATACAGTCCCTGATTCCCTGAACATGCTAAAGCAACTATGGACCAAAAGCTAAATTAAAACCTTTTATTTTATATTTTTGCCTTTTTTTTATTCTCATTGATCTCCTATACATATAAATATCCTGTTTCTTTTCTAAATACCTTCAAGTGCTCCTATACATACAAATTATAATCCAAGGATTTCAAGACAATTATTTCTAACATTAACAAAACACACATATGTTCATGCAGTCATGTTCAATTGTTTATTGGTGTCCAGGAGGAAGATACTAAACCTGAGATATAACAACAAGATCTTCATCTTCTGATTGTGCCATCGAAAATTGAAGTTTGTGCAAAATATCGACAGTAACATCATTCTGAAAAATAAAACAGCGATCAGTTCACACAACCATAAAAATTAATACCAGTGTACAAATAAAAGATTTCCATCAAATATAATCTCTACATCTACAGATGGGAAGTAGAGGGGAACAGTGACATGGAATAACTTAAATTGCCCAATCAATATACCAACATATGTTTGAGAAACATCAGTTATCTAGACATCTAGTTAAACAATAAAAGTTCGGGTTAAGTTCCAGCAAGAACTGTATCAGCAATTTAGCAGACATCATTTTCAGCTCAACCGCAATAAAAGTAACATATCAGAAAACCACAAGCGTCCCGAAGGCCCATGAATATTATTCACGCCCTAATTAGTACTGCAGCAGCTGCTAGTCATGAGCAAATTACAAAGATATAAAACTTGGACAAAGGATACCTATTGCCAAAATAGATCAGCAAGTTGGAGAAGGGTTTAAAGATTCAAGTCAAATCAGTTCATATTTTGACTGACAACTTAATTTAGGTTAAAACTAAATCAGAAATCGTAAGAGTGATAAGACGTTAAATATCAAATTTATCAATCCAAATTCCATGGCTACAGCTTGTGTTCCATAAAAATTAAGCAACATGTGTCCACCATCAATTAGTCACATGTTAATCATGAGACTGTGAACAAGCACGCATATTAATCTGTTTTACACACGCAAGCAAGCGCGCGCGCACACACACACACACACAGAGAGAAAGAGACAGAGAGAGAGTGAAACCTCTGAACGGAGATATGGGACCGAGACGACAGTGAAAACAAACCCAGCGAGTATGTAATATGATGGAGGTCCATCCTTAATACACACTGGAATGAGCTTCTTGGGAATACCAAGTCTGATGTTGAATTCATGCATCACCGAATCACGTAGTACCTTAATATTGGCATTTTCGCCAGGATACTTCTGTGATACAAGGTAACTAAAACCTATACGCTCTCCATGCCTGAAAGGAACTACAAAAGGATAGCCATAGGGTTATTTTGCGTATAGACCGTACACAATTCATTATTAAAATTGAAAACTTTCATGTAATGTCGAAATTTGGTATAAAAGCAAAATAAAAGTTTGTTCAACCAAAATGCGTGATTTAGACTTTGTTCTATAAGCAAAATAATTTTTGATAAATTTTGAAGGTTAAGATAACCATATCAAAATGACAGCAGCAGATTACAGAGCAGGCATCATGGTCAAAACAAAGACCAAAAACATCCAACTAAGGAAATGTTTGTTTCTGACTTTGAAATTGCAGAAACAAATCAAACATTTGCAGTTTAACTGAATCCGCAAAAAACAAACATTAAAGATATAAGATACATACGACCAAATATGTATTGGTGTAACTAGCTGTGCAAACTACAAATTCCATGAGGAAAAGAAAATACATAATGTTTGGTTATGTCACCTCCATGGAAAGTTTAGTTGCCCCTGTTGGCCCTATCAAACTATTTGTTCCCATGGATATAAGATGTTGATTGATTCACGGGAGTTACATGAGAAAAATTAAAGGCCACCAATCATTAAAATTCCAAAAAAAAAAAAAAAAAAAAAAAAAAACACTTGTAGACCAGACATTGTCATCATCAGACCGGAGTTGATAAGGAAAAAAAAAAAGAATTAAAACTACACTTTTTCCAAGAACAAGAGTTCCATTAGCATAAGGGAACAATGCCAGTTGAAGTAAATAATCTAAGAAACATACTTTACACCTTAACAATGGCATCCATATTTTGCATATCCTTAAAACTAGCCTAAAAATAGATGCTGTAAGAGTGAATGAGCATCAACATTACATTGACTCTTCATATCAACTAAGTGGTTTTGTTAGATTATTACAAGTGTGTGGACACTTAAGCAACTATAAAACATGTTTGATTAAATAAATGGTAAAGCCTAACATTAACAGATACTTGAAGCAAGTAAATTGAACACAGTGAGCAGCTGAGCATCTATAAGAACATATATGCAACAGTTCAAAGAATATAATGTTGACATGAATCCAGTAAGGGTGAAGGGTAGAGCATAACATTTTTAAAAATTAATTACCTGTTCCATCATTTCCAATATCAGCCCCATCAAAACTAAGGATAACATCTAATGGCTTAAAAATCTCGGAATTAGGAGCAGTAGCTTCAACTCGGTTAACAAGTATACCCCTTTGATCAGATCTCATTCCCATTGCTATGCGTAAGTCGGGATTCTCCATTGGTTGCCAATGAAACCCAAGAATTGGAAACCCTGAGAAGAATTCATATCTTGCGTTAGATAAGACATTTTTTGAAAGACATGAGAATAAACCAAAATGAAGTTACTTCAACAGCTATCTGGTGATTTTGAAAGATGAGCACAACAAAATCAAAATGACCAAACTTTTCAGCTGAACCATACCTGTATATGCTCTGTTCCTCTCATAATCCTGAATAAAGTGATCAATGACAGGTGTAGGAATAACATAACCAATATTTTCAGCATCTCCTTGTTTCATTGACTGAAATGCAATGCCTACACAATTCCCTTTGTCACTGAAGGCTGGACCACCAGAATTTCCAGCGTTTATGGCAGCATCTACCTGCAACAGCATTAATAAAAAATTAATCAGTGAAATGAGATCAGGAACAAAGTCAAACATGAAAACAAGAATCCCGTATGAAGAACCTGCAAGCCCAGTAGCTCAGACTCCCCATGAGTGTAAGAGAGGATCTCCCTGCGCGAAACAACTCCACTGGTCACAGATATAGTATCTCCTCCTATTGGGTAACCCACGATAGCGACAGCATCTTGAAGAGCTGGCAATTCGCCAAACTCCACTGGTGAAACACCTTCCCAGAATTCATCATCTTCGACTGTAAGCAAAGCTGCAAAACCACAAGCAACCCAAACCCATTATGCACACTTGAAATTTGAAAAAGCACCAGAAGAATTTTAAACTTAGTCAGCTACAGCAGTCAGCACTACTCAATAACAGCAAGACATCTAAGCCATTTGCAAAGCATTCTCTCTAAGAATTGCAGGTTAGAGCTACCAATGCACCAAAAACAAGTATCAAAGCAATTCTAAAAAGATTGAAATTATAACTATCATACCGATATCACACTCAGTCCCAACAGCAAGCACAGTGGCCAAGTACTTGTTATCAGAACCGCGTTTCTTGAGCTTAACTTGAGTGTAGTGTGCCACAGAATGTGCATTTGTCAAAACCCTTCTCCCTGCAATGACAAATCCACTACTGGAGGTGCTACACTGCCTCCTCCTCTGCCACGGAAGGGAATAATTCGGTATTGAACGAACACAAAACACCTTCACCACGGCATCCAGCAATGGCACAACAGGCTCGGAAACTGCCACCGGTTTTTTACCAGCATTGCCATTCATACTGTTTTTGAAAAAACTCGGCATTACACAACACGAAAATTAACACCACAAGGGTCGTATACAATTCCAAAAAAGGAATAGTTAGTTGCTACTTGCTAAGCCGTCTACTGTTTTGAAAAGTTTGCTTTGTTTTCTGATGGTAATTACCCATTTCTGAGTACTTATATACTACAATTGAGTGGCAGTTGGTCGGTAAGTTTAATCAATATTATAACAAATTAGTCAATATTAATAACAAATTAACATTATGACCTAATCATATAGCTTTCATCACCTGATCACAAAAAGTATTGTGTCGACTCTTATCTTTTCTTTCACCACATTTAAATTTATTGGATTATTCAAAGACTGGATCTTTTTATACCCACCACCTCAATTTGACAAATTGGGTATTTTAATACAAAATAAAACCAAAAGTGGGAAAAAAACAAAGCTTACGAAATCAAATAACTGCATAAAAACGTGCAAAACAATAATTAAAGTCGATTAATGTCGAAAATTAGGAAGAATTACCACGTTGTCGGATGAAAGGAAAGCGATAAGATGAATCATCTTTGCTGAGGTTGAACAACAATGGCGTCACCTTCAATTCAAGCCGCCCTTAAGTATTTTTTTTGCCACCCCAAAAGAGGAAAATCCGAAAATCACCAACTTATCAAGATTTCAAGAAGAAAGAATACTTCCACAGATCTAGTACGAGTACTCGAGTAGAGTACAGTACCAAAAATGTAAGAAACCAAAATCAAACCTGACCCTAGAATTGAAAACACTGATACAGAGTAACAAACCAAAAATGCACGCTATCAAAGTGAAAAATAATCCTTCCCCAGGTCTAGTTCAAAGTAATATTTGTAAGTTGTGACAATTGGACTCTTGCGCTATCTTAGAGTCACAGATATGTCGTGTCGTGTCGTGTGGTGTTATTTTTGTGTTGGTGTTCAAAGTTAGGATAGAGGATCTCAAAACTTATCTGCCCCGTTTAATAACGAGTTGTGTCGTGTTGACCCATTTAATTAATCGTGTCGAAAACCCTTAATACTACCCTCTTTATCTTTATGATGTCCGATTTATATCGTGTTGTCGTGTTATAAGTAAAAATATTAGCCCCACTAAAAATATAGGTCATTTTTTAAAAGCAAGCTGATTCATGTTAGTTTTGTGTTGGAATTCTCAACACTAACCTGACCTATTTAATTAAATGTGTTATGTCGTGTCGTGTTGACCCATATAATTAAATGTGTATTAAAACCCTTGACCTTATTTTGAATTTTTTTTCGTGTCCGATTCGTATCGTGTCAACTTTTGTTAACTCTAGCTATTTATCACTCTTGTTTGACCACATATATTGTTTATCACATCACATATTGCAATTAACATTTTTTTGTTGCCTTTTTACTTAATCCAATAATCAATAACTCTCAGTCTCTCACTACTCACATAGTCACATACTTATGATACATCATTTGTTTGATGCTACTTTTTTTTTTTTTTTTTTTTTTTAAAGATGCTACTTCTTGTTTACTAAATGCTAGAATTCGATATCATAAGATCGTCAGATGTGTTAATTGTTGTAGGGTAATCCAGGTAAAATGGGACAATCGTGATAATGAGATATCAAGATCTTGATAAGGACACTAGAAGTAGTAAAATTCCAAGACATCAACACGAAGTATTCATCAGGTTGAAAGCCACCTCTCACGATTGGCTTGCTTAGAACTTAGGTGGTGTTGCAAAGGGCAATCTAAAGGTAAAGGCTTTTGGTATCCAATTAGCAAGCCGAATGAAAGTAAAAAGGCTCATAATACAGATGGATAATCAAGCCGCAATGATAGCTCTTAAAAGCTCGGAACAATATGGAGGCGAATGTACTCACATCAGTCAAGATTGATCGAAAAGTAGAACTTTATCATCGCTACAAGGTAATTATGCTGCAAATGGATTGGCAAACAAGGGTGAGAATCAAAATAGAAGAGATGATTAGTCTAAGTGCCACCATTGGAACTTGTTCTTATCTTATATGATGAAGACATCCCGCGAATGGCCTTGCCAAGGATGGTTGCTGATTAGCAGTTCATTGTTTTAGTTCTATTTTCTGTTCTGTTTTTTCTTCTTCCTGTAGGGGCCTTGCCTCAATGCTCCAAAACATTGCATTTTTCCTTTCAACACATGATATTAAATGAAAAGGTTGATACTTGATCTTACAACATTTTGCATTGGAAAGTAGGAATCTTACCACAAATTCAAGATACATCGCATACAAACTAAAAGAAATGTGTATGTATATATTGTAAACTCAGGAGTGAAATCAATGCATGTAAGAGGGGGTAAACTGGTTCATGAACAGATTAATTAATTCACCCCTTTTCAGTCTCAAAAAATCTGAAATAGTTAACTAAATTACAATAAATATATAAAATACAATACATATTTGATTACTACCCCTTTACTGATTTGGCTTCACATCAAACAGTAGTAACAATGGAGCACACATTTTCGATGAGTCATGCATGACTCATGATGGAGGCGTGCAAACTGAACTCTTGCAGACTGCTGTGTTTAAGGTATTTGATAGGGTGTAAATTTGTTCACCATAAACAGGTAAAAGAGTATACAACTGTAAAACACCTATATGTGAAAAGCGAGCTTCAGACTTCAGTTTATGTTTTAAGATCATCAGACATTGCAGAAGGAATGCCGTGTGTCACCAGAATATCTGCAGTAGCAGCTTTAGCAGTCTCTGTCCGAAGAACGACTACCTGCCATAAGAAACACAATTAATTAAAACAAAACATATTTTGTAAAATTAAATTAATGTTAATGTGGTCCAATTAATTTCAAAATTAAATCACATTCAATCTTGAAATTAGGGTTCTTCATGAAATTAATCCCCAATTTAATTTAACACTTCAATTAAATAATTTGATCATGAAAAAATCATAATTTATCATGAAATCAAATAGATTAAAATCATTAATTACATACTAAACGAATTAAATCAAAACCAAAACACAAAATTCATAATTTAGGGTTAGGGTTTCGAAATTTTCGGAAAAAATAGGGTGGGTTTCGAAATTTTTGAGTGATTAGGGGCAAAATTCGGATCTCTTCATGGCTATTTTGAGCATTATTAAATCACATTTAATCAATTCCAAGAGTTAAATCACATTTAATATAATAATTGACCCATAATTAAATTATTCTCCCTTCTAATTGAATTAAAATTGTGGACTATCAAAGAATTATAGTCAATATGCGTAAATGCAATAGGCTAACTGATACCACTGTAGGGAATTATAGGTACTACGCAGCGGAAATAACATGAATTATATTCATATAGTACCTAATCCCAAGTTCTAATGCATAACACATAAAGAACATATAATCGTACCTTTGAAGCGTGATTCCACGTGCGATCGAGCAAGAACAAAGGGAGATAAAGATTCCCAAGCGTGATTCCTCTACTTAGTCCATGAGCATGGATTAAACCTCCACTAATGCTAGTTAGTTGTGACTGAACACTTCAATCAACCTTCAACGGAGATTTAAGCCACGAACACACCACAACACCACCCACACGCCACCACACGCGCCACCCGGGGAGGAGGGCCGTACGGACAGGGAGGAGAGAGAGAGGGCCGAGTAGAGAGAGAGAGTTAGGGTTTTGGGATGCTTGGCTGCTTGTGTGACAATTCACTATATGTCAATTATTCTGTTATGCAACCCTAGGCATGGTTTATATTTGTAGATCATATCTAGATATAAAACCATGTCAAGTCCAAAACCCATTAGACTCTTCTAACTATCCAAGCCCAATTATCAACATGGTATGTCATGTACTCATGAGGCCCAATAATGGGTCTCTAACTTGTTTAACCCAATACTCTTATGTGTGACCTTGTAGGATCCATTCTATAAGGCTTTGGGCCATTACGCTAGCCCAAAAATCAATTGTCATATCTAGCACCAAACATTGACGACCCTATGTAAGGAACTTATTATCTCCATAATAGTGATCCTTGATATATCTAGTAATTGCACTTATCGAAGACATAACTCCTTCAATTTCATGGTTGTCACTAGGGTTTTTCGTAGAGAGCATTTTGTATTAATATAAGGGCTCTGAAGGTAAGTTGTGTGTGTGTGTGTTTTTCTCTCAAATTCAATAATATAATTAGTAGTGTTATACCCTTGTTAATATGTACAAGTTTTTTAAATGAATAGTGTTTGGACAATTATACCATTTAAAATGTTTATTTACTTATTTGCGCTCATTAGTGATTATTATCTCTTTATTTTTAACTCATCTTAAGAATAATGTGCGGACATTTATACCCCTAAATATATATTTATTACAAAAACTTTTGTATACATCCGGTTTACACTAATATTAGTGTACATCGAGCCGTATAAGGGTAACTTTAAGCCAATTTAGGGTAACTTTTTGCCTTTTTTTGGGTAACTTTGAACATAATATGATTTTTTTTTATATAAATCGAACAAGAAAAGTTTTATAAGGGTGATAAAATTACTTTCAATCACTAATAATTGAATTTTAGTCATTTAAAATGTGGTTCTTTACCAATAAAACGTAGATTATTTTTATTTGTATTGGGTTACTTTATACATATTAGGGTAACTTTTATTCATTTTAGGAGTAACTTTTGATCACTTTAAGAGAGATTTAAAATGGATGTACAATAATTATTGTACACCCGATTTTTTTAAAAGTTTGTGTATTTATTTATATATTTTCTCTCATTATGTTGTCAATAATTAAATTTGTAATGTAATGTCAAACCAAAAGAGATTCCGGATATGAGTAGCTATGGCGTGCGCATCGCGCGCGTTAGCTACCCTAGTACATAAAAAAGTAAAGTAATTAAAACAAGATGAGGTAAAATTGTGAGTGAATGCAAGAAAAATAAGGAATAATAAAGGGTAAAAAGGTCAAAATAATATAGGGATAAGTTAGTAAGTGGGTTTTTTCATAAAATAATTAAAATAATAGTAAATCGAACTTTAGAAATGATTCAAAATGAAAAGCAAGTCGAATTTCAAGAACAAATAGAGAGTCCTCGTACAATATTAAAAGACACAAATAATTAAAAGTAGTAAGTTAGGGTTTGTCCTGATTAACTGAACTGAACTGAATATTTTATGAGAGAAGGAAATTAAGATAAGAAATGAATTGAACTAAACTGAACTGAACTGAACTGAACCGAAAATAAGTTGAAGAGAACATGCCCTTAATATTTGCTGCAAAAGAATTGTTTGGACACTAGATTTAAATCAAATTTAGCAAGTACATTATGGTCCAAATAATTGTTTTGGATAAAAATAAAGAATATTTCATGATGTTGCTTTTTATATTTGCCTTTGTTTTTCTAACATATATAAATTCAAACCCCCTTAGAACTTAGGCAATATAATCAAATTGCTTGCTTAATCCTTACTTATTCTAGCAGCCCCATTTATAAAATTACAAATGATTGAAGTTATGTTCCTTTAATTATTAGGACAGAACTTTAAGCCAAGGTTGCCAATTACAAAAGTGTCAAAGTGAGCATGCCTTCCGACCCTTTTGTACCTAATATCAACACATCATTTAATCTCCCTTTCCTATATATTGCTTAAGAACGTACTCCCCTACGTGTGTGTCCTTGTTCTTTCCATTATTGTGATAAACACATGTATTTTCTCTTTTGTTATTGTGGTATGTTGGAGCTTCATATTAGGTACATTGGAGTCAATATACAAAATGTACATTGGCCCCTTGTTTGTCAAACTAGTTGTTTAGCTAGCTAGGTTAGACGCGTAGTTAGTCAGAAAAATCAAAGTAATTATGTACATTTAAAAATAAAAAATCCAACATAAAT